CATGAGCGTGCCACTACACTCCAGCCTAGGTGATAGAGACGCCCACTCAAAAAAAAAAAAAAGGAAAAAAGAAAGCCAGCTGTACCATCGCGAGACACCTTACTTAGGGCGCAGAACCGAGATGCACGTAGAGGATGCCCAACCCCACCAGCTCAGCACCTCCAGCATGTTCCCACACCAGCCATGCCCAGCAAGCACCTGCAGCCAGCCACATCTCCAGCTGGGACCCCAGCAGGTGCATGGCAGATGCCTGACCCAGGGCCAGAGCTCTCAGATAGCCAGGCAGGCCTGTGGCGAGGAGGGTGGCCAGGGCACACATGGGCCTGGCACAGTGTTCATGCTGAGTGGAGACATGCCCTAGCCCAGACTGCCTGCAGGACAGAGAGGCAGGCGGGAGCCAGGACACTGGAGGAGCACCGTGAGGAAGCAGCCACAACTGTGGGGGCCCACGGATGCACATGAGGGTCAGCCTGTCAACCTGCTCCCATGACAGCGCATCATGCCCTGCAGGACGGCCTTGTCATGTGCCCAGGGTCACAAAGCGCCCAGGAGGGGAAGCGGATGGGTGTTGGCAGGCAGCGAGGTGCGTCTCAAGGGCACCCCGCCTTGCTCCTCCCGCTGCTGTGACCCTGGGGAGTGGCGGCGTCGGCTGCTCATTCACACAAGGGACCGACACGCGGCGTGGTGTGCGGCTGCGGTCCAGCCCTACCTTGGCGCCTGTGCCGGCTGCCGCGAGGGCAGTGGCGCTGAAGTCATGGACGGGCAGAGTGCTCAGCCACTGGGCCATAGAGCGCTCGCGGCACTCGGTGCTGACGATGGTGGGGTAGATATGCTCCTCCTTGAAGGCTGCCACCTTGGCTTCCTCCTGTGCCCAGTCCAGCGGCTCATGCAGCCCGTCCCCACCGAAGCGCTGGTTGTACTTCTCAAAGTGCACACGCTCCAGGACCAGGCCCAGCCCTGGTGCCTTGGGCACGTCCACCTTGCCCTCGCCCCAGCTACGCTCCAGCACGCTCTCGGGCGCGTACCCCTTGATGATGGCCACCGCCAGGCCCACCATCTTGCGAATCTGGTGCGTCATGAAGCTCTGGCCCTTCACCTTGATCACGGCGAACTCCAGGCCATCACGCTCGAAGGGCTCCTCGCAGAACATCTCCAGGACATAGCGCCGCGCACTGGGTTCCCGCGGCCCCTTCTGCGAGGTGAAGTTGTGGAAGTTGTGGGTGCCCTTGTAGCAGGCAAGCAGCCTGTTGACACGCTGCAATGTCTCGGCGCTTAGGCGGTAGCTCTCATCCTGGGCGTCGCGATCCTTGTGGGCAAAGGCGAAGGTGGGCAGCATGTAGCAGTAGGTCCGGGCATCACACCTGTTCTTGGAGTTGAACCCGCCCGTGACCCGCTTCAGGCCTGGGGAGACGCGGGGAGCAGAAACTTGTCAGCGACGGGATCCAGTACCTGCTTACCCAAATGCACAGGGTTCTAATAGAAATCCAGCTAGGCGTGGTGGCCAGCACTTTGGGAGGTTGAGGTAGGAGGAATGCTTGAGTCCAGGAGTTTGAGATCAGCCTGGGCAACACTGTGAGACCTTGTCTCTACAAAAAATTAAAAAGTTAGCCAGGTGTGGTGGTGAACAGTGGTGGCCCCAGTTACACGAGAGGCTGTAGCAGAAGGATCGATCACCTGAGCCCAGGAGGTTGAGGCTGCGGTAAGGCCTGATTGTGTCATAGCATTTCAGCCTGGGCAACAGAGTGAGACCCCCCAGCTCAAAAAAAAAAGGTTCTAGAAAAATCAGACTTTTGGGTGAAGGGTTAGTCAAAGGTCAGTGAACAGACGCAGAACAGGCACGGCTAGCAGAAGGGGGCATCCATGCCTGTTCTGAGGAGGAAGGGAGACTTTAATGAACAACAGCTGCAGGTTCTCAGATAGAAGAGCAGATATTTATTTTTATTACTTTTTGAGTCAGAGTCTCACTCTATCAACCAGGCTAGAGTGCTTTTTTGGGGGGTTCTTTTTTGAGTGACCTTCTTTTTTGATTGCCTTAAAAATTCCACTTCATAAACGTTGGACATTGCAAGGATGCTCTGCACACATGATTTCGGTTGTCTGGTACATGATGATTATGAAAGGCAGACTGAAAATCGCTGGCAGACAGCCTGGCACATGCTGCTGGGTGGGTAATGCCACACGGAATGGCTGCAGACACGATGCTGCCTTGGCGTGACTAGGGGTTAATCTACAGAATACAGTAACATATTTTCTGTGGAAATGGATGGTAGGAACTCGCTGGGTGTGGTAGCTCACACCTGAAATCTCAGCACTTTGTGAGGCCAAGGCTCCGGGAGGATCGCTTGAGCTCAGGAATTCAAGACCAGCATGGCAACCCAGCGAGATTTCATCTCTACAAAAAATGTTTAAAAATAAACTGGGAGGCTGGACATGGCAGCTCACACCTATAATCCCAGCATTTTGGGAGGCTGAGGTGGGAGGATTGCCTGAGCCCATGGGTTCAAGACCAGCCTGGGCAATCTGGCAAGACCTCATCTCTACAATAAATCAAAAAATTAGCCAGGCATGGGGGCGCATGCCTGTAGTTCCAGCTACTTAGAAAGCTGAGGCCAAAGAAACACCTGAGCCCAGCAGGTCAAGGCTGTGGTGGCTGTGAGCGTGTCACCGCACTCCAGCCTGGGCGACAGAGTGAGACACCAACTCAAAAAGTAAAAAATAAAAATACGCTGGGTATAATGGCACACACCTGCTGTCCTAGCTATTCAAGAGGCTGAAGCAGAAGGATTGCCTGAGTCCAAGAGGTAAGGGCTGCAGTGAGCTACGATCGTGACACTGCATTCCAATCTGGACAACAGATCCCAACTCAAAAAAAAAAAAGGCCAGGCACGGTAGCTCAAGCCTGTAATCTCAGCACTTTGGGAGGCCAAGGTGAGAGAGGATTGCCTAAGACCAGGTGTTTGAGACCAGCCTGGGCAACTTGGCAAGACCTCGTCTCTGCAGTAAATTTCAAAAATGAAGCCGGGCTCAGTAGCTCAGCTTGTAATCCCATGCTTTGGGAGGCCAAGGTGAGTGAATTGCCTGAGCCCGCAGGTTCGAGACCCACCTGGGCAACTTGGTGAGACCTCATCTCTACAATAAATCAAAAAATTAGCCGGGTGAGGTGGTGCATGCCTGTAGTTCCAGCTACTTGGAAGGCTAAGGCGGAAGGATTGCTAGAGTCCAGCAGGTTGAGGCTGTAGTGGCCGTGAGCGTGCCACTACACTCCAGCCTGGGCAACAGAGTAAAACGCCAACTCAAAAAAAAAAAAAACAAAAGAGGCATCGAACACAATGTTCAGAGAATTTAGGAGTTTTTCAGGAAGGAATTATCTTCAGCAAGCAGAGAAAGACTATAATATAATAAAAATAAATGGAAGGCTGAGGCGGAAGGACCGCTGGAGCCCAGCAGGTCGAGACTGTGGTGGCCGGAAGCAGCCACTGCACTCCAGTCTGGGCGACAAAGTTAGACTCCAACTCAAAAAAATAAAAATAAAATAAAATAAAATAAAGTAAAGCAATTTATTAAAAATAAATTTAATAGGCCAGGTGCAGTGGCTCACACCTATAATCCTAGCACTTTGGGAGGCCAAGGTTAGAGGACTGTCTGAGCCCAGCCTGGGCAACTTGGCGAGACCTCATCTCTACAAAAAAAAACAAAACTGGCCAGGCATGGTGGTGCACTCCTGTAGTTCCAGCTATTTGGAAGGCTGAGGCGGAAGGATCGCCTGAGCCCAGCAGGTCGAGGCTGCGGTGGCCATG